TTAACCACTGACTTGATCTGTTTATCAAAGTTGAAATTGACGTCAAAAATTACCCCCAGATTTTTTACCGCATTAGAGAGCGGGGGGGCATATGTGCCTAGATCAACTGAACTTCCATCCAACTTAGGGCTGATAACAATAAATTCAGATTTGCCTTCATTTAAGTAAAGGAAATTCTGACTTAGCCAAGTTTTGACATCCTGTAGACAGTTTTGTAATGCACCAAACGAACCTGACTCCGGTTGAACCAGCGGCATATAGATTTGAATATCATCAGCATAAAAATGGAAGGGAATGTTGTGGCTAGATATAATGGCGGCAAGTGGTGACAGATACAAGGAAAATAACAAAGGGGCCAGAATGGAGCCTTGCGGGACACCTGAAGTCAGGAAAGCTGCGCCGAAAGAATGGTCACCAATCATAACCGAATAGGTTCTATCGGTAAGATAGGACTCAAACCTTAGCACCTCCCCTCCCATGCCGAAAAGGTGCTGGAGTTTTAAAAGTAAAATGGAGTGGTCCACTGTGTCAAAGGCTGCAGTTAGGTCCAGCAAAGCTAAAATAACTGGGCGTCCAGCATCCAAGGCTAATGCAACATCGTTATGTACCTTGAGTAAAGCAGACTCCGTGCTGTGTCGAGCCCTGAACCCAGATTGAAATTTATCAATTTAATTTATCAATTTAATTTATTAATGATACCTGGCTTAGTGTTTAATTTTTGCATTTTAGCAGGTTTGAAAAGGTTCTCTTAGGTCAGATGGTTTGCTCTTTCTGTTACATTTTGCAAAACGATATGGTGACCTTGTTTTTTTTTTTTTTTACAATGTTCTAAAATTGAATTTTTGTTGTTTACTAATGCTATTGATGGTCCATGTCTTGTTATTGCCTTTTCAGGATTACCTTGTGCAGGTTTACTCACCAGCTGGACAATAAATCAGGAAAGTGCAATACCTTCTTGGATGGAGTTTAGTAGTGATTTTTACAATAGAAATTTAAAATTGGATCCTGGAGCGAAAGAAGACAAAACAATGCAAGTGGGGAAAAGAAAACTTATCATTTTTCTCTACTTGCTGCATTTCAGCACTTTTGCTGCCCCAGTCACAGGATTTTCACTGAAGGCTTGCAGAATGACTTCTAATACTGTCATATGTGCCAAGAGTCAACTCAAAGCTGTTCCTCGAGATATTCCCTCAACAACAAAAGTTGCTGACTTGTCTGCAAATAAAATCTCAAGAATTCAAGTAGCAGATTTCAAAAATCTACTTCTTCTGACACAGTTAGAGCTAAATCGCAACTACATTTCACAGATAGACAACGGTGCCTTTGCCAATCTGATTTGTCTTGAGAAGTTAAATCTAAACAATAATAAACTTGTCGAACTTGGAGAGGATGTTTTTCATGGTTTGAGCAACCTCACCGAGCTTCGAATCGGTGGTAATCGCATCCAAACTGTGGCATTCAGCTCTTTTAGGTCCATGACAAGCTTAAAGTTTTTGGACATTTCTCATAACAAACTTCACGAAATAGCAAAGGTTCATTCAATATTGCAGCACCTGCCACACCTGCGAGAGCTGTACATTAAAAACAACAATATAAACACTTTTCATTCATGGGAACTGACAAACAGCTCACTAGAACTTGGGTATCTTGATTTGTCTCAGAATCCAATTGCAGTCTTTCAAATCACTGCAGACATTTTTCCACATCTCATCTGGTTCAACATCGGCGGCTCTCGCACAAAGCAGCAGATGATGTGGGATGTGCGTAACAAGACTTTCCTTAATCAAGTTTCTACTCTTGATATTAGTGGGCTGCAAATGGCTTTGGGTGACATGAAAACATTACTAGAGACTGCAAACTCCTCACTTAGGACGCTGAGGATGAATGCAATGAAACACAGCCTCACAGCGCTAATCAACATTTCCTGCACCATCCCAACAATGTCCAACTTACAGCTCCGCTATTACAAGCTCAGATCGGTCAGTTCAACTATGTTTACATTGTGTATTTATGTAACAGAGCTAGATTTAACACAGAATCACATACAAATCATCCACGTCAATGCCTTCAGATCTCTTCCGGGTCTGAGAATCTTAAATCTGAGTCAGAACAAGCTTTCATCTGTTCCAGTTGCAATAAGGAACCTTCCAACTCTTAGAGAGTTGAATCTCAGCGCTAATAACATCAGTAGACTTGGATGTGATGACTTTGCCAATCAAACCATGCTCAGACAGCTTAGCCTTTATAACAACATGATCTCAGCTCTAAATGAGTGTGTTTTCAAGGATCTAATACGATTACAAGTTTTAAAGCTACAAACCAATCACATTAACAAATTAAATGGTGCTTTCCAAAGACATTTACCGAATCTTAGACAACTGTATTTGAATGTAAATCAACTGACTAATATTAAATATGGAGAGTTTAAGGGTTTACACTCCCTCCAAAACCTGTCATTACATGACAACCAAATAGAAACACTTGAAAAAGGGTGTTTTATTGGACTGACGAATCTTACCGATATGTTACTACAGAAGAATCTTATTACACAAAAAGCATTAAATAACGGTAGCTTCAATGATCTGATCAGTTTAAGAAGACTAGATTTTAGAGATAACTATATTAAATTTGAAAACGATTCACTTTTGCCTAATCCACCATTTTCTCAGCTGTCATGTCTGGAGACCTTGGCTATTCCTTCACAACATGGCAAAGGGACATCCAAATTGCCTCGCAACCTCCTGCAAGGCTTGACAAATCTGATAGAGTTCAGTGTCAGGGACATTCAACTTATATTCTTGCACAAAGACATGTTTATTTACACTCCTCAGCTGCAAACACTTGACATTAGCTCAAATGACCTTATGGATCTCTCTTCAGATTTGTTCTCCCCAGTTCAAAACCTTAAAAGTCTCTACATATCTAGAACAAGTCTTCAGTCTCTAGACTTTCTTATAGGTGCCAACCTTACCAAGCTGGAGTTTTTGCAGGCGAGAAAAAATCAATACTCAGTTATCAGTGAAGAAATAATAAAGTCTGTACCAGCTCTTGTTTATATGGATCTTCAAGGCAACAGTTTTACCTGTGACTGTAATAATGCCTGGTTCCTCAAATGGGCAGAAGACAACAACCAAACCCAAGTTTTTGATGCCTTCAACTTTGTTTGCAACTTTCCTCTGGACCTCAAAGGTATGAAACTGTTGGACCTTGACATCCGGT